AAAATGAAAAGGTAAATGGTGTGTGTGTGTGTTTGTGTGCGCGTGGTGGGGGGGGGGGAGGGGGGGGGGGCAAAAATCGCGCAAACATCACAAACGAAAAAAAATTTTAAAAATGCGGGAACGAGTTTGGAATTTGCATGTCATAGGAAGTATACCCTGCATAGTGCGGATGCTGCAGATTCGCGGGTCACGATGCGACAAGCACAAGGAAACCCGCGATGAGCACGTTTGTCGCGTACCGATACCGCAGATCACGCAACAGATTAATTAAAAAAAAAAAACGGAATTTCTTTTTTTTGGGGGGAGGGGAGGGGGGGGGGGGTTCATTTTCAGTGCCACTGTGCAAAGAAAAGAAAAAAGATTTAGTAAATGACGAAACGACGCATTGTTTGTTAGAGTTTTGACGAGCACTCTGACAAAGCAACCTGTGCGTGTGCCATTTTCGGGCACACGTGTCAACGACCACACCGTACCGACGTGGTCGTTGACACGACCACATCGGTACGGTGGTTTCATAACAATACGGCCTTTTAGCAAACCGTCGCGTGTTCCACGCCCCGCGGTCACGGTGTCACTCGGGCGCGCTTAAAAGCATGCTTTAAAGCTCCGGTAGTGCGCGGTACGCGGAACACGGTAACGGTTTGCTAAAAGTCCCTATTGGTTCAGAATTACCTAAACGACACAACACGGTAAACCGCTGTGGCCACTAAACAAGAGTACTCCAATAAATATAACCTTTAAAAAAAACGAAAAAAAAAAAAACAACTTGCTAGGGTAGTTTTGGCGCAACACGAGCGCTAGGGAGCAGGATGGCGCAGCGAAAGTGGATTGGCGCACAATGGCGCAATTGGTGCAGCGCTTCCACCCCTGCAATAAGTACGGTATAATAATTCAACATGTTCTGTACTTGCAGGGGGACAATGAATCTCCTGCAAGTACCTACGACATGCGCTCCTGGCAAGACGAGCAAAAGTACTGCGAGCACCGGTCAAGCCACGTCAGTACCTTCCTCAGAGGCTGAAGTTTGCTGCACAGTGAAATAGACGACTTAACTCAAGCATGACAGCCATGAAGGAAGATGTTCAGAACATGTTGACCCACAATGCCTCAGAGAAAGATGTTCTCAGCGAGTACATTTCCAAGCTCCCCACAAAAACAAGAAAGCGTGATGCAATGTTTTTTCTGCAGCAAAAGTAAAGCAGAATGCGTTTCATTACAGCAAGGTATGGATTTTGGAATCTATCATAATGGAGATGAAGAGCCCCCACCTGTACAACCACATCAGACAGTGAAATACTGGCCGTTCCGAGCAAGTCAACCCTGAAACAATACATCACTGTGTACTGGAGTGCATCCGAATTTAGTTCCAAAGTCTTGGGACTGTTGAAAACAAGACCCTAAATAAAGATGGCTTCAAGAAGCGTGGCGGACTGCTTGTGGGCGAGCCGAAATTTTTACAGCACCTGTGTGTCAAACATTCAGGGCGCATTGAAGGATTTGTTGACTTGAAGAAATATACCTCAACAACAAACAAAGTGTGCAATTTGATCACGGGATGGTCGTTGTGTCTGGGCCATTTGTCGGAAAGTGGAGCCAGATCATAGGAACATCTGCAACAAATGGAACCATGAAGGACGAAATGCTGGCAGAAACTCTCATAGAAGCTGCAATTCTTACTAAGCAAAGTGGTCTCTTCGTAGACTTCATAGCCTGTGATGATGCCAGTTGGAACCACAAGATGTGGAAAGTTCTCGGTGTCCAGGGAACAGCAAACAATGTGAAGTGCAAGGTGGACAATCCAGTTGATGCCAGCCGCAGCCTCCAGTTCATATCAAACTTCCCGCACTTCATCAAGTGCTTGAGTGAAATGTGGATTCAACACACCAGGTGGCCACATAAATGTAACTTTCAGCCTTAACAATTTGGTGCTATATTCAGTCATAGGTGATCCTTTTGTGGGTCAATGTTTTCTTTTTTTTTTCTTGACAATAAAGCTTTTTTATTTGCGCAGGTGAACATGGAGCCTATCAGGGCAGCCTACAAGATTGACTCGAGTAGTCTGACCCTCAAAGCAATGCCCGGGCTTACGAAATGTCATTTGCAGCCCAATGCATTTGAGAAAATCAGAGTTGGGTATGCATTCCAACTCTGGAACAAGAGTAGGCCTACTGCAGGGCCTTCACCTCTACAAGACGGATATAGAGAGCAAATGTGGAAGCATCTCTGCCACGCAAGAATTCTTCAGGTAGGGGCCCTGCAACAACGTTTTTACTATTCTTTTAATTTGCACCGAACCTGAGCGCACTGAACGTAGTAACTTAGTGAACTTTTTCTTTTTCGCAATTCACTTTATTTTAAAAGTTATAGGCATATTAAAATTACAAAAACAAGCAAAAAATAGCCTCCTTCATGACGTCCTTGGTCCTCTGTCCCCCCTTTTCCTGCGCCGGAGGATTCCCCTTGCCGCGGTGACTGAGGAATGGGGGGAGGAGAAGACGGGGAAAGGAGGTGAGGGCGAGGCGAGAAGCTGCCTGAGAACGGGGCAGCTCTCTCTCCTCAGCTGACGTCAGGACTCGGGACCAAAAACGTCACGATTTCGTCACATGCCGCGCGTGTTCGACACCACGGGGCGCCCCCGCAGGAGGAGGAGGTTTCCGCGTTGTCTGGTTAAAATATGATGCACTGATATGTAGTTACTCCCTCCGTGCCCGCTGGTTCGCCCAAACCATAAGAGACGTGAAAACCGCAAAAAAAAAGTAGACGCTTAAATAGAGTTACAGGGCTTCTTTAAGTCTAACAAGTTCATGATGAATAAGTGTGCACCACAGCCATAATACAGATACCTTCAATAATATTTCCTTTGCATTATCGCTATTAAACCATCAACATTTGGTATTCTCTCTTCTCTAGTCTAGCTCATACAGTGGAGCCAAATAACTATGCTGTACTTTTAAAGTAACCAGCCCTACAGGAGCAGTACAATTTCCCAAGCCACCAGGTACACTGCCACTACAATGATGCGCTATCTCTAACATTCAAGCTGATCAACCAGCTGATTGCTGTGAAGACATCTCAATCTCCTGCAAAGGCCTTACGGCCAAACTAGCCAGCAACTGCAGCCCTCAGCGAGTTCCCGGACTACTTGAAAGCCTGGGAGACGTATGCCAGAGGAGCTGGTGGATTTGTCAGCGAGTCGACACCTGTCGGCCTCCGGGTCACTCTTCGTAGCATGCTCAAATTTTTTTCCTACCTTGTTAATTCAGTAGCGCTTAAGTACCCCATGATGTCGCGACTCAGCCAGTATCTGATACAGAACCTCTTTGGAATTGTTAGGCAAGCATCCGGGTGCAATGATCGCTCAACGCCCACACATTTCCTGATGACCATGAACTGTCGTTTTACAGCTTAGTGAAGGCTGTTCGTTTTTGGAAGTGATCCCTGCGCATTGACTGCTGTTAGAAACCACCAAACTCAGCAGTGTTGGCCCTCCTGACGGTAGCTTATGGGATAAAGTTGACGAGCTGACCGAGTCTGGGGATTTACCTACATTTGAGACTGTACTGCCCTCCACGCTCGATCATGACAAACACATTGTTTGGAGGGATTCACGGCTGACCTATAGTCCATTGCAACTCAAGAAGATAGGGTGAGGTAAGACGGGTCAGGAAGGAGGAAGCAGACGAAACGCTGGGGGAAACCTCCTTCTCTCTTTAGCGTTGCGTCTGCTTCCTCCTCCCCGGCCCGTCTTATCCTCGCCCTACCTTCTTGAGTTGCAACAGACTATAGTATGCTGCAGGCTATGTTGCCTGAAAGTGTGTTATGAAGCAGAATTGCACGATTTGTATGCAAACCTTGACTGTTCCAGCACTAGAATGCACTTCCAATCTAGCCAGGCTGACAGAGCATCGTACAAAGGGGGCTGCTGTACACCACTGGTACCCTCTTGTTTTGTGCACAGGCTCAAAAACTGGTTTAGAGTGCTTCAGCAGGAATAAGTTGCAAACCGACAGTATCTTGGACATTCTCGCAATAGTGAAGTCTAGATATTACCAAGAGATCGGTTTCCAGGAGCATGCACCTGCACTTACAGCCAAGGTAACTAACTGGCTTCTACCTTACCACCAGCCTTCACTTTTTTGAGAAAGACCTCAATACCGATAAAGCTGCAAAAAGAGAGAAGGCAAAACACTCAAAGATCGGCAAATGCTCATAGGTCATAACATTAAAGTGATTAGATGTTCAGTACTTTCTTTAAAAGCAAAGCCGAGCTTCTGCTTACTTCCATTAAAGTTTTGTAATTATGTGTGTATTTGAGTGTTCTGAACAAACGTCGGTTCCTGACCCCTAGAGCAACATTGTGTAACTATTTTGTGCTGGCTCAGGCAATGCTAACTAGGCGACATTTGTCTGCGGGAACTGCAGAAACCACAACAGGCAATGCTGTCACTACTCTCACTCAGGAAATTTAGTTTACACAAAATATTCCAGAAAGCGGCATTTAAGAAATTTTGCGAACTAGTAAAACCAGGAATATATTTGTCCACAAGATGAATAGAGCAGGTTCTGAAGAAAGAATTGGAGCCGTAAATATGGCTCATCATCTCAACGTAAACACTTGCCTACGCGGGCACGATCGCTGAAGCGCAGAGGAAAGATTCAGGAGGAGTCGACCGGAGTGCCATCTCTATGCGTAGACATGAAGCGCCTCACCAATAGCGGCTGGTGAGCCCACTACCCCCTTTTAGGCCACTGTAGCCAAGCATTGCTGAGGCGTTACCACGGTTTCCAGACTGGCGCCCAAAGAAAGCATTTTCCATCCACGGTGGCCAGACTAGCTCTCGAAGAGCCAACTGCTTGCAAACGTCTATACTTGGGTCCCACTAGTGCCAGTAAGCTCGTGTAAACTGAAAAACATTTTAAATTAATAATGTTGTACTGCCTTTTTTAGGAAAAGATTGTGGAATTAATAATTTAAGAGTTATGTACAGTGGCACAACAAATTTTCACGGCACCAATAATTTATTTGCAAGACTCGCGACTGCGTCCATAGAAGTTCCCATCTCTACCAAAAACAAAGAAAACTTCCTTCTTGGCTCTTCTGACTTCATGGCTGAATCCAATGCAGGACATCGTCTTGAAAGCCTGGAAGGCAAATTTTCATGAATTTAAACCACACTCCTACACTGACAGCACACACATGCCCAATATTTTAGTCTTTAGTCAGCTACAGATTAAAAAAGCACTAAACCTCGGGAAAAAAAAAAATGTTTTCTACCTGGTTAGGACAAGTATAACTTAAAACGAATGTTTGTTGAAAAAATATTTTTTCCCAATATTTTTGTTACAATACGAATTTTTCGATTTGTGGGCAAAACCAAAATTGTACCGCTATGGAAAGCAACAGCAACGGTAGGAGCTACGTGCCCGCCAGACCAATCAGCTGCCTCCCTCTTATCACCTGACCTGGCTGTCTGTGCGTGAGTATGGACGGGAGTGTGATGACGTGGCGAAAGAGAGGTGTATGACTGGTCCAAAATTTAACTTCTTGCAAATTCCTTCAACTCAAACTCTTTTTTCTTTAAAACACTTGTCAGGCCAAAATTAAAGCATGCTCCTGCTGTCTGGGACCCTAACATTGAGCATTCTGTCGGCACCTTTGAACGTGTCCAACATGCTTGGAATAAATCCTGAAAGTTGAACTTCTACTAGACCATTCTACAGTTTAAATTGGTTATAACACACCTTGATAGTGACCAAGATTTCAGTCTGTTGTAAAAGGAGTATGCTCTATGTAGGTACGAAGTTGAACCATTGTTGCAGATAGAAAAACTAACTGTACTTCCAGAAAGCAGTACATATTATCCAAATGTCTTTTGTAACCAGGTTTGTTCTAACAAGTTTATACCGTGCATGTCATCACGCAGCAATCACTTGCATAAAGTCGGGATTCCAATGTTGCCCAAATACCCACACTTATTCATTCATACCATGTACATCTATTAACTTGAATCACATTCCCACATCCATTGCGACAATTCCTAATCCGGTTGCTTTTAAAAATGCTGTAACCGGACTACTGGGGCCTATTTTATAATCTTCCTTGTTTTGTACACTTTTTGTACATTATAGTCCCAACCTCCTCTATCTTCGTGCGCTGAGGGTACAAATAGCAAAAATAAAATAATGAATAAATAAATAAGATGCAGCCAATGCTACAAGCCCACGGGGCCAACAAAACGCTGTCAAAAGCACGACATTATGGTATTCGTCATCTTTCTGCACCACAGCCAGGCCACAAGGTGGCTTGCTTTCCTTTCTCACTTAAAAACAGTCCAATTTTTTTTAGTCGCATAGGGGCACAACCATGCTAAACTCCTCTCCTCCACCTCCACCCCCCCCCCCACCCCCCCACACACACACAGACACACAGCTTTAACTACCCTGAATAATTGTTTCGACCAATGTTTGAAAATGGGTGACAATACATCTTTCTAAAAAAGCACTTTATTAATTTAAGTTTTTTATTTTATTGGGGAGGAGGAGCGACCGTGACGCCCTAAGTGGTTAACTTTAGAACTACACGGATGGGGACAACAAATACAATCATTCAGCGCTCGGCCGACATAACCGAACACGGCGTCAGCGTTCGGCTGGAGTTTGTGTTCTCCGATGAGGGGGAGGAGGGGCTCTTTTGTTTCCACTCTGGCCTGCATGAACAATGCAGCATGCACGGTCCCAGCGCCGCACAAAAGCCGAAGTGGGTCAAGCTCGCATTCTCCGAGGATAGATCTGGCACTTAACGTCGCTTCGTCGATTGTTAGTATTTTTTACATTAAACTGTGCCCCGCGCTCTATTGTAGAAGATGACATGGACATGCCCATAAGCCCTGTCAGCATGCGCGCAGGCCTTGTGTTGAGTAAACACCAAGGGTGGGGACAACAAAGGGGTCAGAGCGCCCCCTATAGTTTGATCTCGTGCCCAATACATTGAAAGATAGCTTATTTCTAGTAATTGTAGGGCCCTGGCCAATGGTGACCTCGGTAGAAATGGCGCTAAGTAGCCACGGCAGGAGATAAGTAAACACTGCTGATTGGGAACGACAGTCAAATTGGGTTCGTCGCTCCTCCCTGCAATCACAAGTTTCGCAGGTCACAAGATCTAAAGCTATAGCCAGGAAGCTCCTCCCACCCCCTTCCTACTTTAGTAGAGTGAATGCTGGAAAGGAGGTTGCCTCCTCTTCACACTTTGCTGTGGTAAAGTGGAAAGAGGTGGGAGGAGCCCCCACTTTACTCTTAACCTATCACCAACTAATAGCACTTTCCAAATTTTTTTATTTTATCACCGCAGACCGAAAGTTAGTTTACTCTTTATTTTTACCCGATTTGCTTTCGATTTTAGGTGGGCTATCTTTCAGGATATTACGGCACTTCACGAGCGTAGCTTCTCTGTAGCGCATCGGTGCACGGCGAGAAGCACACTGAATGAAGCTAATTAAACCACCCAAGTATATCATGAACTATGAAAAACATCACAAAAATTCCTGGCACAGAGTCATTTTCGATACGAAGGCCTAATTAAATCACATTATTCTAAGTGATATCCGAAAGTACTGAAAGTTCGCACAAGCTTACTAAAACAATGCGGCAGTGCAGCGACGTCTGAACTATTAATTTCTGTATTCATAAAGTAAAGCTAACTATTGGTGCAAGGTAGGCACAAATTCCTCACATTTTGGTGAAATGTAGCAGGAGGTAGCAGGGTGAGCACTCCAGCATAATTTAGCACAATGGTGCAGCAATCACATCACTGAGTTAGACAAAATTTAAAGCTTCCAGTTCTTTTGTGATGACAAGCTTGAATAGGTTTGTAGCGGCTCTTAACTTCCCTTTCAGGCTGGAAATTAAGCAAGTTGAGATTATAAAAACAAAACAGTGCAAAGACAAGGACGAAGTAGAAGAAACCACTGGACACAGCGCTGTGTCCTGTGGTTTCTTCTACTTCGTCCTTGTCTTTGCACTGTTTTGTTTTTATCATGTCTACTTACCAACTAGCCCGAACTTCTACTTTAAGCAAGTTCTTTAATTTTCTATCTGTGTACCACTGCAACAATGCTTATTACACTGTCTTACGCATATTTTTGCTAAAGAAAACAAAAAACAAAGGAATCTTAAATCGCAGCCCTACTTACATCATGAGAAGGCACGCTGCAATGTAAGTCCAAATTTCCATCTTGAATGTCACGTTGTCAGCTGCCAATCTAGAAACAAAGTTTGAGAAAGGAGAATGAGATGCAAAAAATCATGCATAGTTTACAAATCCATAAGCATTTGCTCAGTACACATTTGATTTTTTTAAGTAATAAAACTAAGCTGCCGATGAAGTTATTGGTTTGATCAGGAAATTTAAAAAAAGTATAACCTGTTAAAGGAAAGATGGAAACGTTTTGGACAAGCAGTTTCTAAACATTTCAGCTAAAGAGCTTGCTCCTACAATACAGCATAAAAGAGAACCACCAGTCTCCTCACATGAAGCCAAATGCAGAGGCTGTGAGTTGCTGTTTTGATAAATTTACATACAGATAGTGACAATAGAGATGTTGAATGAGAACAAAAGGCTATTCAGCTTCAGCAAGTTTTATTACGTCCCATGTGTTATTTCCAACGTTCCATCACAAAACCTGTTTATTGTACCACATCACAGGGCCTAACCTCCAGCAGTGCCTTTCCTCTAGGTAAATTCCATGCCAAAGAAGACACGGCAATTTTTTCATGTCTGGGACATGTACGAAAAAATGATCTTGATAAAGACACCTCTGAACTAAAGAAAAATATATTTTTTGTGAAAAAGTAATATTTTATTTTTGGTCCAAAATTTCTGAAATTTGTAAAATACTCATGTAGTCAAGGAAAACACTGCAAAAATACAGTTGCTTACCAAACAACAACCAAACAATTTAGGTGGACACCTAATTACTTAAGAGTATGCCCTATTCTACACTAAAATACAAACACTGAAGATGCCATTTTGTGTCCAATTAGGAGGTCGAAAAAAAGAGATTTATGAGATTTCTTTTATTTCTTTTAGTAAACAATTGGAGTTGGGTGTTAGCTACAATATATTCCTCCTTTGTTCTCATAGAACTATTAAAATTGAATTGTATATATTAAATTCTAAAAACCTCGTTTTGTTGCATTTTAATCAAATGACAAATGTCCAGTTCATGCAGAAAAGTCCTTATTGAGAGCCAGAAAAAGCAATGTAGGCAATGGTGCCTGCAACTTTGAGAATAACCAATAGTTCAATCCACCTCATCTGTTGAACATATAAAAATGGTTGCTGCTTAGAAATTTTTTAAAGATGAGCCTCTCCGACCATGCTTCTAGCAGCCACGTTAGCGTTCACCAACAAGGCATCAATGGCGTGAGAAACGGCTGCAAGGTCTTCAACGCTATCCTGAAAACACTTTTATATGGGCGTTATCCTGACTTTCATGCCTACGTTTCCTATTTACGTTACATAATGATACTGGCGTCTTAATTTTACTTTACTTCTGCCCAAGTAACTGCAGATGAGCTCAGGCCTGCTTCGTCTGCTTCCCAAGTTTGGGAATGCATACTGCGTGTCAGCTTAATCTGTTGTATGTCCACATATAAAAAAAATTCTGACTGGATGGCTTTTCAACAATGCGAAATGATAAAAGTGATGTAGCTTCCCCATTGAACATGTACCTTAATAGAACTAAGATGTATTGAAGTTCGTTGGCGCATCCAGCAAGGACGCGCTGCTAAGATAGTGACTTTATGAAAATGACTGCGTCACTCTTAGTGTCACTGTGGGCAGGGCTTTTGACAATCTTTTTGCACGAAATAATAAAATTGGGAGTAAAAAAGCGAAAATTTATCGATTAATATCTAAACAAACTACTAACTTTTCGAAAATTTTGTAAATTGCTCAAGCCTATGATAGTAGTTGGCATCAATACTGTAATTTCAACATGAGCCATGAAACCATTAATTAAAAAGTTTATGAACAATCTTGTTAACAAACTGACTTACCATGATGTTTATTGCCTCATTTAAAGGGGCACTGACACATCAAAATCATATTTTTTGTTATTATCAGAGACGACTGAAAACGATGCCGGGACATTACCCTCAAAATTCGAAACTTGGGAATTCACTATTTGTGAAGTAAAAAAACAATTTCCAAATGCCAAATTTGAAGTTCCCGCACTATCCGTGCCAGTGCAGTGACGTAAAATTTTTGCGGTCTCCTGACAGTCGACTTTCTCTCGGACCTCCGCTCTACACTACAAAGCAAAGCGCCGTTGTCACCACAACCCGAAGCGCCGGCGGACCGACCGGGAAAAAATCAGTTTCTTCACCCGACTCACCGATCATCCTCTGCTTGAGCGCCACCAAGTTTTCCGAGGGAGGACACAAATCCAGGAAGCGACATCGCACTGAACTCTGAATTTTGGTATTTCAAAAAGAGGGGCCACAGTGCGTTCGCAATTGCGTTAAAAAGCATGTTTTACGATTGCCATTACTAAATGTTATAAAAATGTCGCCTACAAAGGTTCTAAATTTCCTGATTTTTGACGTCACCGATCAAAAGAAGCAGGGAGGTGAGCAGCGGGGGAGAAAAGCGCCAAAAATAAAAAGGCGCGTGCGTGTGCAATAATATTTTTTTTCGCGATGCCGCTTTTTTTTTGTGGTATGACTACAACTTACATTGTCTTAGACAATAAAAAAATATGACCTTAGGGGCGTCAGTGCCCCTTTAAATTCTGCCGAGCCTTACACTCAAATGGCGAAGATGGTACCAGTGTAACTCCCACCTTTTATCACGCACACTTCCTCTAAAAAAACACAAGTGAGTTCAGAAACCGAAACATCTGCTGGCCTCCAGTGTATTTCGAAGTCTAAAATGCTGCACATGTACCGAACCTCAAAGGTGTGAGGAGTCCGCTGCAAATAGTGGAATGCTCTTTCCATCATTGCACTGCTTTGGGTTGCAATACAGATTCTATCAAAATACATTTAAGTTCAATCCCCGTTATCATTTCGCATCAAGAAAAAGCTATCCAGTCTGAACTTTTCTTTTTTCTTTTTATCTGCACATACATGGGGTAGATGCACAGTATGCATCTCCAAAATCAGGAAGCAAACAATGCATGCCTGCGTTCGTCGGCAGTTGCCTGGGCAGAAGTATTGTATTTTCCGGGCTATAGACTGCACCCGGTGTATAGTCTGCAAAAACCAAATTAGGCCGAAGAAAAAAAAAGCTTGTGCTTAGATAGTTTGCACCCGGTGCGTAGTCCGCACGCCCTGCATAGTGTGCCCCTGGTGCTTAGTCGATACGAAAATCTTCTCATACACGGCACACCTTGACAAATGTCTGTCTTTTCAGCTCTCAAAGAAGCTGTTACTATACATAAATCATCAATAACATACTCTTTCATCCACAAAATCCATCATGTCTTGTCATAATGAACAATCCTGAAAAACAGAACTCCTGTATAGTCCACACACATAGATAGTGTGCACAGCCTAAAATTTCAACTTTAGAACACGTATAGTCCCCGGACTATAGCCCTGAAAATACGGTAGATTAAAATTAAGATGCCAGTATCATTATGTAACGTGAAGAGGATATGAATGCATTGAAACGAAGATAACGTCCACCTCAGCTAAATAAAACGTGTTCTCAGGGGTGCTGAAGACCTTGTGGCTGTGTTTCATGCCATTGACACCTCGCTGTCAAACGTCGGCATGTGTCACTTACGAGGCGGGCGGCTGAAGGCAAGGTCGGAGAGACTCTTTAAAAAATATTCCCCTCAGCAACAACAAAAAGTACTTTTTTAATTTTTTCATTTGTTGAACACATGAAGTGGACTTAACTTTTGGCTATTTCGGAAGTTCCAAGCACCGCTGTCTACACTGCTTTTCCTGGCTGTCAATATGGCTGTTACCCTATAAGCTGGAGATTCTGTCATTAATTCTAAATGCAACAAAACATGGGGATGAAAATTTTATACAAGCAATTCAATTATTAGGTTTAAAAGAACAAACGAAAAGAGTATTGTAGCTAATACCCAACTCCAAATTGACTAAATAATAAAAAAAACTAATAAAGTTTTTTTTTTAAACTCCTATTTGGTTTTAAAATGGCATCTTTCAATGGTCGTATTTTAGTGCAAGGTAGGGAATATTATTTAGTAATCAGGCCCACCTAAATTTGCGTGGTATGCAACCTTTTTTTTTTTTCAGTGCTTTTCTTAATCACGTAGGTTTTATGCAAATTTCGAAAATTTAAAAAAATAGTATCAGCAAAAATAAAATTTGTCTTTCACAAAAAAAAATATTTTCTTTTGGAGTTCATAAGGCTTCTTTTTCCAAATTAGTTTTTTCGAACATAATGCAGACATAACTAAACCACTGCACCAGATAAAGCTCAATCAGACATGAAGTTTTGCAAATGTACCACCAGCCTGCTACTTACCTGAATGTAACTACCATCTCCGTCAGATCTGGGGATATTTCAGATAGGTCCAAATACAGAAGATCCAATATGTCTGGCAGCCTGTAAGACATATTTTATAACGAGACACAGCAATCACCACTTGATACATCCACCGCACTCCAAACATAAAAGGTCTGTCTTGTAAAGCTGACTGAATTAAGCAAAATGCTCACCATGATTCTATAATTTATACATCAGGTATCTTTATTGGAGAGATATGCAAATATTAAAAATCTATAATAATTTGCAAATACAGTTTTTTATTTGATTCAATTTGCAGCATACTTTTATTGTTCGAAGTATTCAAGCTTGTCAAATATTTGAAAATCCCAAATAATCTCTCCAAAACTCTCCAATTTGTAGGGTCAAGCTTCGCTGTTTCGCACTGGCGTTCTGGTGTCAAGCTTCAACACTTTACAGCAGCAAGCACGCGCTAAAGGGGTGCTCCGGCAATTTCTTCATATTCCCCACTTTGCCTGAAATTTTGCTCAACACACCAACAAACATCGCTAAAATAGTAATCCAAATATTGGGCCAAAGTTATCTTTTTCACAAAGTTATTAAATTTACAAATTTGGTCCTAACCGCGCTATTCGAAGTGAAAGTTTCTGCGGGCAACAATGAAAAAGTGACGTCAGCGGAAGGCAGGGGTTCACTCTTTGTACTATAGACTGTTCCCAACTGATTACAAGCCGTTTCATAGCATGAAATGAATGGTTTGGAACCTCGCTCCAGCCCCTGCACAGCAGCAGGGAACAAATGATCGGCATAGCCCATTTTTAGACTGCTCGCTCGACCTGCAAGCACTCACGTCACGGCACTGAAAAGCATGGGCATATTAGAATGCTGACTTTGGCATAATTTTCCCTTGCCGATTTCACAATACCTATCTGAATTTCGCGATGCTGAATAGCATACCGGAAAGGGTAAAGACCGGTGATTCGGAAAATATATTTAGTTAAGGTAACTCAAAAAATGCCGGAGTACCCCTTTAAAGGGCAACTCCGCTTCATTTTTGATATTTAGAAAACTATGTAGCCCTCTTCAGTATCATATAGGAAGACCCCATGTCAAATATTACAATCTAATTCCGTTTATATATTTAATAAACTGGCCAGCAAACCTTCAAGCGAGCCAAGTAGGCGAAATCTGCCAACTCTAGCGTGCGGCGCAAGGCGCAATCATCAACGCAGTCAATGCCACGGAGTTGGAGCGGCCAACGTTGGACCACTACATCAGAGGCATGTGTACGTCATTCTTACGTTTTGCTTGTTTTTACTTCTCAGAGTAAAATTGAACGATGACGTCATGAGTTTCTCCTTCCGGTGTTGGCTGACCGGGCGTTCACGTGATCACCGTAACGCGGATGCGCTAGTTTGCGCTGCCCTGCGCGCTTATCGGTCTGTTTCTCCGCTCCCCTTCTCCTCTTTCGTCTTCTCCCCTTCCCTCTCTCCCCCAGGCCATCACCATCCACGCCATGCGAAGCGACCTGCCCGCGTCCAATAAAAAAGAAAAAAAAAAGACCTGCCCGCGTTGCGTGTCCTGTTTCTCGCTCCCTCCCGAACGTCACAAAACCACGTGGTTCGACGTGACGTGCCATGACTCTGACGACCCGAGACCAATGTTGCCTGACGCAACCAAAGTTTCGGTTTCGGTATCTGCTGATGTTTAAATTAGGATTACGCAAATAATATTCCACATTTCGCGAATCCGAAGACGTAGAGTTGTTTAGTAGTACTTTGTGAATGTGAGTCACATGGAAGCTTAAATTTTTCGGAATTGAGCGGAGTTGCCCTTTAAGTCTAACTGTTTTGCACCAGCAAGCTAGGAGAAACTGCTGAGGTGTCAGAGCATCTCAGTTGGCTCAATGGTCTCAGATTTTTCGCTCAGTATAGCCAAAGCAGGCTCAGCCTGCTTTGGCTATAGGTAATTATGTTTTAACACCTGACCTTAAAGGACACTGCCAGAAAACATAACCTCAAGCTATATTAAAATAAAAGAGGTAGTAATTGCATTGCTTAGCAAGTTCCATCATGTGTTACTCAACTCATCAGTGCCTTTTTTTTTTCTTAATACAAGTAAGTGAAATGTTTCTCATAAAAAAATGTATGGCAAATTGCAAGACTTGTGAAGTGTTCTAGCATCACAAACGTTTAGCGATACTGCGAGTTTCCAGATACCAGACACCTACATTCCCGGCACTCTCCATAAGATAGTTTAACGCGCATCATGTGTATACCTGATAGTTGTCCCTACAATGAAGCGATGGTACTGCTAATCAGGCTGATAACCCTGGCAATCTCCCAGTGTCTTCCGTACTTTCGACCTTGTCTCCCTCAGTGCGCAGAGGTGGTCGAGCTCCTTCTCATCTACACCCTCTGGTCACATGACCTCCGCGTTAACCAATCAGCATTAAGCACTTACTCCTCCTCTCCCACCCGTTAACCAATCAGTGTTGAGCCTCGCGGCCATGCTTTTATCTGGGCTCCATGAAATGCCGAACACCAAACCAAAGAATTTTTTCACGTTACAAAACTGTTCCTCTTCATAGCTATCCGATCTGGAAAAGGTTTCCAGCCATTAAAAGTATACATGCCCAATTCACGCCAGATGTAAAAAATTTATATTCAAGAATATTTTTTTTTGTAATCTGCAGTAAAATTTTAATAGTCGTATTTGATTCAGAATTATAAATTTGTTATTTGCACATTTCTCTATCTATCTCTTGCATAAGAGTTCCATATTTTGAGGTCAAACCGCCAATCCAATACACACTACATCCTAAACACACATATGCACACACATATGTGCAAACTGAACAATATATTCCAGCTAAATTAAGTGGGAAAACTTCCCCGCTAAATTTAGCAGTTTGTAATTTTTTTTGTAATAAACACAACGCATAAAGGCCAAAGTCGGTTTTCTAACACATTTATTATTAAAACATTCAGAGTGTTGTAAACTACAGTAGATTTGCAGGAATTTTGATAATTATCCAAAGTGCAGCATTCTGAAATATCATGTGGAAAAAATTACTCAAACTCTGGTAAACATGTCCCTGGACCACTTTCTGATCATTGTGAGGGGATATATCAGAGGTGGCCAAGCTGCGGCTCTTCGCGTGTTAAAGCGCGGCTTGCGGCTCCCTCCTATCCTACCCCCTACCCCTTTCCCGCCTCCCTCCCGGTCACACGAGCACTTCACCAAAAAGAGAATAGGAATGCGTTTTAAATCGAAAGACAGGTTGCGGTTTGGTAGTTTTGTGCTACTGCTACCTTACATACAGTTGGACTGCTTTTGACTCAGATTAAAAGTAGTTAAGAGTTTCGTTTATTGCCCTAAACAAAAGTTTGTCCCCCCCCCCCCACCCCCCCCCGACCCCACCGCGGCTCTTGAAAGTTTTGTGGTTTTGTTTGCGGCTATTAGGCCGGGTCAGCCTGGCCAGGCCTGGGATATATAGTATTCACAAGATTGATTGCTTGGAATTTCTATCTATCCACAAAGCTCACACAAACTAAGTCACTTTGAAATGTATACACCAACTCGACACCCCGACATCACACCATCGCGGTGGTGCTGTCAGCATTGTGCATGTGCAAATGCTTCATCTCACGCGAGGCTGCTTTCTATGCACGCACAGTGCCCACATCTCATGTGGGAAAACAATAGACGTTTGTCAACAATGTGTTGGTGTATATATCACCCCAAGGTTGGGGTATGGATGCCCAGAAAAGAAACTGATAAGGTGATGAATGTATTTACTGCTAATTGCATCTCCCAGTCTCACAAGCAAGAAATAAATGTTTAGTTTGCATAAAAAATTTTGCTGGTTCACAGGAGCCTTAAAAAAGGAAATATCTTTATTCAAACTTAAACAAAAAAAAGAAAGGCAGTATGCATAGCTATGCCTAGACATAATAAAGCTCTTTTGAAAAACAATTATTGTGTTATAAAATGAAAGCCGTTTACAACTCCCTGTAATGCCGAATTAGAACGCAGCTCTTGAGGAGAAGGAGGGAAGGGCACTGGGGGGTGGGTCAAGTGACCTTGTGGGGGTCACGTGACGATGCCGAAGGCATCATCAGTGACGTTACTGATGACGTCACTGGTGATGTCATCAGTGATGATGACGATGACGATGCGGATGCCGGTGACGTCACTAACGACGTCATCAGTGATGATGACGATGACGATGCGAATGCCGGTGACGTCATCAGTGACGTCACAGATGACATCATTAGTGGCGATGACGTCAATGGGTGTCGAGTGACCTTGGGAGGGGGGTGTCACGTGACCTGGGTAACCATCGTGACCCTCGTGAGGGTAACCCTAGTAACCCTTGTGAGGGTAACTCTCGTGACCCTCGTGAGGGTAACTCTCGTGACCCTCGTGAGGGTAACTCTCATAACCCTCGTGACTAGGGTGACCACCCGTCTCGCGGGACTGTCCCGCATTGAGGGCTGGTGTCCCACAAGAAATTCTAAAATCTTCAAAATGTCCTGCATTTCACATTGTCGTAACATTCACTGCGCTAATTATGGTGCTTACGAACAACGGGCCAACGGGGAACCGCGGAGATCGCTGATAAATGTGTGAATCTCGATGGTATGTCATTTTCTTGCCAAGCACTGCGGGAAGCAGCCGTCGTTCTTGCGGGAGACTGATGCACATGCATTGTTGTGCCTCTGCCCTTGATGGCAAAATATTGCAAGCGAAAATTGCTCAACAAAAGCTGAAAAATAAACTATTGTAATTAGTTGGAAATCATACTGTATCATGCGAAAGGGTTGTTGTGGAAAGCTTTTTTTTTTAGTGAAAACGGTTACAGAAGGCAGAAAACCTGCAACTCACAACGGTCAATAAAACAACAAGGTTTTATTTTTGTGTAGCAGCATGTTCATATGAGAGTAACTATCGACAGGAAACAAAAAGATATTTACTGTTTTTTATTTCCTTTTGATGCATTGGGTCTGGTAGAGTCTATCTTTATGTTTTCAACTTAGATACTTTTAATAAAATATTTACCATTACAAATAAACGAAAGTATATCACTGTGAGTGAAACTTATCTTAGTTTAATTGCCGCTTACAATTTTCAGGCGTATAATACGCTTTCTGACAGCACAGGATTTTGGGGTGCGCGCGTTGGTGAATTTCCCTTAATAGTTATTTCTTGAGTCGTGAAAATACCCAGTCTTAGGTAGTAACGCGTTACTAGTAACGCGTTATAACTTTGTTACTTTTTTGGTAACTTGTCACTGTAATGAGTTACTTTTTAAAAATGTAACTTGTAACTGTAGTTCTTTTACTTTTTTCTGAGGCAACGATGAAAGTAACGACGTTACTTTTGTCGTTACTTTCCAGTGTTTTATGAATAATATATCACTGAACGAGTGCACTTTAGCCATTCCTTGCACTTTCCAAATCGTCTATTCCGACATTTCGAGTGTCAAGTTGGCCTTACACAAAGTTGTGAATACGTTCTTTCTCGCGAGTCACGACCCGAATATAGCCACGTGTAGATTTAATGAAAAAATTTCTAGTTATCTTTACGCACGCGCTTGTACTTTCTGACTGAACACTTACATCGTAGTGTCTTCAAGCACTATCTATGTTGTGGTTTTTCTTTTTTCTTTGCAAACGCTTTTTGATCGGGTGAATCAACCGTCAAACAACAATACACGTGGAGGACACTGCGCATGTCTCGATTTTGATTAGCGCCACTACTCCGCACTGCACATGTTTCGTATTTTGATTTGCGCCACTACTCTGGCGTGGAAACTTTCAAACACTAACTTCGAGAAGCAAATGCTGCTAAGTTACAATATGAAGTAAAAAGCTTACTTTTTATTTTATGCAATAAAACGTTGTGGGAGGCGTTTTCTAGTTTTTTTGTTTTTTTCTCATTTTTTGTGTTATAGAAAAGTAACTGAAAAGTAATGTCGTTACTTTTTAAATGTAACTGTAACGAGTTACTTTTTATTGCGGTAACTGTAACGGTAACTTCGCTTCTTTCTGAAAGTAACTGTAACTGTAACGAATTACTTTTTAAAAGTAACTTACCCAAGACTGAAAATACCGTCCTCCTCTTACTCCCCCGCTCCCACCCCCCGGTCAGGGTGTCCCGCATTCAGCCGGCAGGAAGGTGGTCACCCTACTCATGACCCTCGTGAGGGTAACCCTTTTGAGGGCAACTAACCCTCGTAGCCCTCGTGATCCTCGTGAGGGTAACCCTCGTGAGAGTAACCCTCGTAACCCTCACGAGGGTTACTCGCGGTTACGCCGATGCCGACGGGGGGAGGGGGTCACGTGACCTCGGGGGGAAAGGGGGGGAATCACGTGACTTCGGGGGGGGGGGGGGGGAGGAGGGGGTCACGTGACCTCGGGGAGGGGGAGTCACGTGACCTCGAGGGAGGGGGGTTACGTGACCTCGGGGAGGGGGGGGGGGGTCATGTGACTTGGGGAGTCACGTGACCCTGGGGGAGGGGTCACGTGGCCTTGGGGGTCACGTGACCTTAGGGTGACCTTGGGGTGACCTTGGTGACGGCGACGCCGCTCAGGCTGGAAACGGGCGCCTAAGAGCTGCGCTCTAAAACATGACTGAGGGTGCAAGATTTTTGCTGCCTTTTCCTCAAAGTCGATTCTATGATGGTGGAAGACGTGTAAAACATCTTACCAGGCAGTATTTTTTTTATCGAAGTCATGAAAGACAATGGGCGAGATCATGCGATCCACGACGTAAACTCTTATAAGTAGGGCAGCTGAAAAAAAAAAATACCCTATCCTTTCCCAGTAATATTTTAAGCCTCATTAAAACACATGTGACAAAAAGGCACTGAGGTGGGGGATGCACACTGCGTGCAAAGTTATGTGTTTGACAAGAATCCACAGTTTTAGATGCAGACAAAGTTGAAAACGCTTCCTTACAGTTTCTTGAGGCGATCCAGCACAATCCTACGACGATGGACGTTCTGCGCACGAGAGTCAACGATGGGCAGGAATGCATCGTTTTCAGCCAGAGGCTCATCAGCATTCTGAAAACAAATCCTGTATTAGTGTGCTACCTTAAACAATATTAGTGTGATTTGCCTGCCATCCATGATTTTGGTACCCCTTCCAACCTTTAAGACACCCTGACACAAACAAGGCTTGAGACTCGAAGTTTAGGTCGAGAGATAATGATTGATTTAAGATAAGTTCCTCATTTTTGATATCGGAAGCTCAGTGCCAAGAATGACATGAGGCTTGCTAAAGGATGTGATATTTTCAAGTTCAAGTTGTTTTGGTAAGACACTTCTAAAGTTAACAACGATGAAAGAAAGATTATCAGTAAAAGTGCACTTTGGGGCCTTGCGGTTCACAGTGCATCAGTCATTCTGTTCATTGCTACGGCACGCACGAGGGCAAACAACTGTATTACTTGCCAAGTCATGCATGTATGACTAAGTACTGAGGTGTAGTTTGTTGTAATTAATTTTATATTTGGTCCCGCTTTCTCTAAATTGTCCAAAAAATTCCCACAGTTTCCGCCGCGCAAAGCACAATTTTTCAGGAAAGTCTTCGGAAATCCAGATTTGGGGCGTTTCATTCTTTAGTTTAAAAGCATTGCGAAGTAGCTCTTCTTTACTTTGAAAACAAAGAAATTTCTTGATAGTCGGTCAATTCGTTCCCGACCGTTTTTGGCCCATTCAACACGCCCTTTCAATTTCAGCTAATTCACTTCCGATGATTTCTCGAGCAAAATCAATCGAGGCTTACGTTAGAGGGGATACGGACATAGAATTCCCCCAGCTGCTCGGAGCATGAGCGTGGCCCAATTACTTGGAAATGTCTCCATACCGATAAGAAATTAAATCAAATAAGGTTCCCAAAGAAAGATGTAGCCTCACGGGACCATTCAGTGGGAGCTAACATAAATTACGGCCGCAGATAGCTCTCTCCCTTTGAAGCTTGGGTTTTCCTCATTCGAGGACAGCTTCAACTAAGAATTTTTTCCATTTTTCTCAGTCTGAATAAAACCAGTTCGGGGGTTATTTATGTCGGTTTATCAGCTTACATCTACTAAATCTTGGAACCCCGGTAATCAGTAATGCCACCCACACAAAACTATGACGACAGTGACACTCACAGATTTAGACCTGGCAGGCTTCCTCCTTTGGTTCGTTCTTGCCGCTTTTTTCCCAGGAACGTCGCCTTCACTGACTTCCGCAGTCCCCAAGCTGAGCCGGCCTACCTCACGCTCGAGGATTTTGAGCCGCTCGACTATGGGGTCGGCCGCCAGCTCCTCCATCGTCGGCATCGGCGCCGTCGGCATTATTGTCTGCATTTCGCCCTCGTCCGACTCATCGTCCGAGTCATCGTCCGAGTCCAAGAGAGACTTCTCCCACTCCTCCTCCAGCTTCTCCTCTTCGTCCAGCTTTCGGCAGAGCTTGGCGTACATCTCCCGGTACCTGAGGAGTTGGTGAAGAAGTACGTGGGCACGACGTAGCTCCGAGCATGTGGAGCAAAAGCTCGTGTCGCGGAACTTGGGGACCCCAGGCTCGATCCCGAGCTCGATCCTCGTCCCTGCCCGTTTCAATCTAGACAGGCATCGGGCCAGCATGCGGTCGTGCATCACTACTGCGTGGTGCTTGCCAAACACCCCCCCAAGCTGGCAGCGGCGCTGCACCGGCTAAATTTCTCGTCCGCGGCGGAGACATTACGCGCCCACTGAGACCGACTGACTTCCTGTAGATCCAGTAAATAAGCTACACACTTTGGAGTAACAGCAATTCAGCCCTTGATTTAGATCAGATTGGATTGAATGGCAACCCCTTGGAATGAAGGGCCGCTCGCCGGAAGTTCGGGCGAGGGCCTGCCAAAAGCCAGCTCAGCTGGGCCCGCCAAGTGCCCGGCCAAGACTAGCAGAGTTCTTTGTCAGTTGGATCTCTTGGTGCTCAAAATCATTGTTGCCAGTTATATGAAGCTGTACCAGAAATTACGAGAAATGTCCTTCCCTCCTCCAGAAACGTTAAAGCGGTCTGCAACAAAGCAAAGCGACGTCGCCCGAGCTTCCCAATGCCGTATCCAAAGGTCGGGAAGTCGCATTTTTTAAACGCGAGGATCGCCGATTGCGCTTGCCACGCAACAAGCACAAAGAGGGCGGCGTCCACGAGAAAATTGAGGAATAGAGCGATGGTGCTTTAAGCAAAGCGTATTCAGTGACTCTAAGGTCCGGACCACACACTCGCGGCCGCTTAAAACAGAGTGCCTTAAAACTTCTTGGGATTTCTCAGGCCGAGAGAGCACGCCGGCGCCATTTGTAAGGTAGCCATGGAACACCCGGCATTTTCATACATTTCTGATTTCTTTTCACACGTCACTCTTTCTTTCTTGGCTCAAAAAATGTTTGAAAACGTTATAGATAGGGTTCCGCATTTTTCTGGTTTGTTTTTCTTCAAATTCAGCACTGTGTTTTTTTGTTTGTCTTTTTGTAGTGGATTTGATGTTTTTTTAATAATTTTTGACGTTGTACGAAAAATCTGCGTTTGTCGGGGCTTCTGCGGCAGTAAACGAGATGTGGATGTGGGATTACCCGACCTCTGAGCAATGTGAGCATGACCCGAGCAAACGCCAGGAAACCATTTCAGCCCCTATGAGAGCAGGAAACGGGACGACGGGCGCAGTTCCCAAAGGCAGTAGCAGCCTCACAGACGGCTCAGCGGGGGTCGTGCCTTGGACAAACGCGGACTAGAGCTGTGGAGGAAGATTTCTTTCCATGAAGGTCAGGTTTTTCGTATTCGAGGACGGCTCCGATTCAGGGTTTTTCGGTTTTCGTTAGGTTGGATGAAACAGCTTCCGGATTTGTCGGTATTTAAAGAAAACACAGAGCCCAAGGTATAAACGTTTGATCTCCAAACACCGCAAAACCTTCGCTTTAGTGATATGACGTTCCAGGGTCACCTCATAGGTGGAACCAGCATGCCAGAATGTTCTCCCGTTGTGAGATCGCAAGAATTGAAACGCAAACAGATGCAAGTGCGTGAATGGACATCGTTCCTGCCCTCTAAACGTACGCACGAGGCGATTACTTCAACGATTTAACTCCCGGTACCTCTCCGCTCTGGCCTTCTCGTCGAAGGTCTGATGTCTCTGCCTGAAGTCCCTGGCGGCCTCCTTCCCCACGAGCATCTCGACGGTGTCACCCGTCACCCACTGCCACAGTATCTTCTCCGCGTCTTCCGCCGCCGACGGGGTGCTCCCTTCTGACCGAGAGGGAGGCTCGGACGCCTGGCGCTTTTCGCTCTCGAGCATGCTCAGCCAGGACCTGTGGTTGGAGGCCGGCGACTTGAGGATGCTCCGCTTGGGAGCCGTGGGAGCGAGTCCTGGCTGCCGAGACGCGGCCGTCGGTGGCTTGTCGTCGGCGGGGTGCTCTGCGCAAGGTACAATTAAAGGGATGAGCAAAGCAGGCAAAGGAGATCGTGTCACTCGACGCTGGAGCACCGCGACACCTTGACAAACTTGAAGTGCCTGCCTGTCCATATGTTGTTTGCCTGCTTGACCGCTCTCTTTTCCAACTCTGCTTTTTTTTCCCCTTACATTCACGTAAAAGCACCACATGCCTCTGGTACAAACCAATCACCCTGCCGTGGTTATGTGTCTTAAAAAAAAAAAAGTCAAAGCCGTTTACAACTCCCTGTAACGCCGAATTAGAGCACAGCTCTTGAGGAGGAGAAGGGAAGGGTACTGAGGGGACGGTAGACCCCTCCTCCTCCTTACCTCACAATAATTAAATAATTTGTCACAGGTGAGGAAGGGGGCCCAATAAAGACGTTTACAAACAAACAAACAAACTCCTCTTCTCATTCATCAATCTCCTCCCAGGGGGGGGGGGGGTCACGTGATCTGGGAGCACCAGACCTGGGGGTCACGTGACTTTGGGGGGTCACGTGACTTTGGGGGGGTCACGTGACTTTGGGGGGGTCACGTGACTTTGGGGGGGTCACGTGACCTCAGGGGGGGGGTCACGTGACCTTGGGGGGTTACGTGACTGGGGAGGGGGGTTCACATGACCTTGGGGGGGAAGTCACGTTACCTCGCAGTTACACCGACGGGGACAAACGAAGGCGACGCCGCTCAAGCCGGAAACGGGCCCCTAAGAGCTGCGCTCTATATTACAAGATTAGAAGGGAGCGGTATTCGAAACCTGTAGGGCTTTGCTCTCTTTAAAATTCTGCGCGCCGCAACGGCATCTATTGCTCGTCAATTTCCGCAACCTGTTGCAAACTGAGAAGCCATACCTACTTCGCGTTTTGTAGGCAACTTTGCCCGCTGCTTGCAAGGTCTGCACTTGAAGATATGCCACTTGCCGGAACAGACGGCAGCTCACAATTATGACTAGCTTTCCGTTTTTTTCACCACTGGAAACACGAAATTCTAGTCATAATGCTCTGCGACAGGGAAGATTCACAAACCCTACTTGCAAGCAGCAGAGACATTTTAGTAGACAACACGGTAAAAAAGACCATAGAAAATTGTGCCACCACAAAATGGCACCGCACTGTTGCACTACTATTTTTCTGTTGCACTACTATTTTTCTGTCTACACGAGTAACTTGTCAAGCTGAACATGGCAACATGAACAAGCTGAACATGGCAACAAGTAAAGACACTGCTATGGCAATTTATATTTCACTTTCTCAATCCAATGGTGCAGCCGGCTCTCAATAACTCAGTCACTTTATTCTAATTTTCGGTTAGTTCGAAGCACAAGTGCAGTCTTGGCAATCACGAGTCTATGGGAAAAATGTGTGGTAAATTGAAGTTTGACCTCTATATCTGATTAATGCTAATAATTTTTTTTTGTGTGTGTTTCAAAAGTTTTGTAGTTCCAGGTCACTAAGAAGTTTGCAATTATCCTGACGAAGTTTAAATCGTGACCATGCGCACTTTATTGCTTTTGTACTTTGTTTCCGTGATACAAGGTTGGGAGAAGAGCGAACAATGCCAATCAGCCAAGCCAAGCATGGCATGGCAGCAGAAGCGCACAGCCTGCACTGCCAAGAAAGCTGGGCTCGAGGAATTACCCAGCACTCAGAGCTGTACCGTTCACCCAATGCATTAACATCCGCAAACATGCCGCGGTCCGTGGTCCACTTTCGGACAGAAAAATTGCGCGAGAGCTTAGGCCTTGGAGCAGTCAAGTGCCGAGCGGTTGAGTGCCGCTGAAGCGGAAACTGCGTTGGGCACCTCTTTAAGTTTTCTTCTACAAAGAAAATGCCTCAGATGCCTAGAAAGGTTTTTGATTTGCAGAGCATAGTTACTGCGATACATCTCTGTTAGTGGAGGCAGGCAGAAATCAACAATGCCGCCAGAGTGAGGTCCGAATAGATTAAAACTCAGGGCTTGAATGTTTCTTATGAACTTCAAGTTTGCTGAATTCGAAGCGTTTCGCTGCTGTCCGAGCTTTGGATTATTGAGAATCGACTGCATGTCACCAATATTGAGCGAAAAGTTCTTGGAAACAGAATACGGTCGTGTTTCGTTAAAGGGATACTGAACCGAAATTTGGATTTTGCAAAGTAAGGCTGCAGAAGTGTTGAACGGGACACTACGAACACCAAAACATCACTCAAACATCGATATCTCAAACGAATGGCCATACTTTTGGAAAAGAAGGCCGCAATTAAGCGAGTTCTTTGACGTAACTGTCCTCCGGGAGAATTTGAGAATGAGGAGAAGCGGCCTCGCTTCTCTCCTCCTCGCATCGGTTCACCAGCTTGACGAGACGTAGCAAGGAGGAGAGAGAATGGGAATCGTGACGTGCCTTGTCTTGTGGGCCTCGTCAGCCGGGTTCAATCGTGCACTTCTTTTCCGAAAAATACGGCGGTCCGTAAGAAATATCACCATATGAGTGATATTTTTTGGTTTTGCAGCTTCCCGCCTATCTGCCCGGCCTTGTTTAGCAAGCTCGAAATTTCGGCTCAGTATCCCTTTAATATGGATGCCTCCATACCCCAGAAAGATTGTCCACAGTGTGAGTAGAGAGAGCATAGGTGACTTTTGTGTAACCCAAGCTGAAGAGGGGAAGGAGGAGCTGATAACGGACCCTCTTTTGTGTGCCCCGGGCATCGCTTTGTTCCCCTCAAAATTTGTGCAAAAGCGGCATTCTTCTCTTTCTCTCCTGCATCTTCGACAGTGCCACGCGCACCTAGGGAGTCACGTGTCCCTCTCTGGCGTGCTGATTGGCTTGCTTGGACCGTAGCTTTTGCCGCTTGCAAAGTTACGGTGAAAGAAAGTATAGGAGAAATTCACTTTGCGAGTCCAGAGCTTACCTCCTGTTCCCCAGAGTGGGACAAGGTCTACGGTGAGGTGACCTAGCTGCTTTAGGGCTCATTCATCTTTGTTCCCGGTTGTAGATCATACACAATCTCAAGCAATACACTGCAAGCGGAATGACCCATTTCACGTAAAAGGCATAACAAAAACATCTTTTGGTGCCCAGCTCTTATTGCAAGTCCTGCAACCAACGTCCAGGTGCACACAGTGATCTGTTGGGTTCACCGATATCTCGGAGATTTTTTGGAGCGCAGCTCTTAGGCGCCCGTTTTCGGGTTGAGCTGCAGCGGCGGTGGCGTCAGCATAATTGCGCGCGTTGCATTATGGAACGTTTCCCCGCTAAAGTTAGTAGAAAAATGTTCCCACTAAATTTAGCGGGAAAATTTTTCGGCTAAATGTAGCAAGAAATTTGCCCGCTAAACTTAGCGGGAAAATTTTTCCACTAACTTTAGAAAGGAAATTTCCCTGCTAACTTTAGCGGGACTCTAGATATAGCAGGGATATTGACCTCACGTGACTTCAACACCAATTCAGTTGGGAAAATGACGTCACGACTTCGTGTCAAGTTACCCATGAACAAATTCAGTGGCAGGAAGAGGAGGAAGAGAAAAAGAGGAGGAGGAGGGAAGGAGGAGGAGGGAAGAGGAGGAGAGAAGGAGGGTAGGAGGAAGAGGAGAGGCATACCCTCCCCTCCGTACCCTCCCCTCCTCCTCCTCAAGAGCTGAGCTGAGCTCTAGTTTTCCGTTACAGAGAATTGGAAACATCTTTCATTTTTTACACCTTTCCTTGTTATACTGGTGTACTGGCATTTATATTAATGAGACAAAAATGCCTGTGTCTACCCAAATCATCCCCGAAATGGCTGTCTATAGCCCAGAGTGTGGGTTTCCACATTAAGGGGTGCAAAGTTGCACGGCGAAAGATCAGTTGCCTAACATTTCGCCCATAATGCCATACTATTAACGTATCGCCCATAATATATTGCCCATAATGCCACATTCGTCCATGTTAACTGGGTTCATATCAACGAAACACGACTGTATAGAAAATTGTGCTTCCATAGGCAACAATGGGGACATGCACTTTGCTGTATAAATAAAAATAGGCAACCAGAACACCAAGCTCACCTGGGCTGCTCAACTGTGCTTTCTGCTCCTGCCTCTCTCTGAAAACAGAAAAAAGGATGCATCACAAAACTATTTCACTGTGTATCCATTCTACAGCATGCCATGCGCCATGATGACTCATCATGTTTTCTGTGCCGTAAACACCAATAAACCCCGAACATTAACCTAGCATTCAAAAGAGACACCCTGCTGTTCTCACCTTGTCTGTGACTATGGAGGCAGGAACTGAGGGAGAGGGGTAGACGAAAGTGTGCAGAGATGTCAGTATGCCGGGCTCTGGTTGGAATGATTAGAAGGTAGACGCCAAGCTAGACGCCTTTGTCTCCAGTGCACTCGTCAAACGCGTTCAAATGTAAAAGCCGAATGCCGGACGCCGGTGTTCTGTGTTCTAGTGCATTTGACGAGTGCAGTCGAGACAAAAACGTCTAGCTTGGCTTCTACCCACTAATATCAACCAGAGCTCAGCACTCTGACGTCCCCGCATGCCCTCGTTTCCACCTCTCTCTCAGTTTCTCGGCAGGCAGCAATTAATAAATGATGCCATAAATAGCGCGCCTCAAGTATGATTTTTTTTTTCTTTTTTTTACATGCAATGGGGGTCGACTTAAAATTGCGTACATATAGCACTTGTGGGGATTCCTGTGGTCTCCCTTCCCCGATGGCTGCGATAACGGCCGCAGGTCGGAACGCTCGGCCTTCTTCGCCGTGAGCTCCGACCTGTTTGTGAGGCGGAGAGCCACCTGGCTTGGGGGGCTCTCCTCTTCACTCTCTCCCGGGGGGGGGGGACCGTTTTCCGTTCCACTGCTCGGATGCGGATCACTGTTGACAGGCGAGGAGGTTTCGCCTCTTGTTTTCCCGCTTTCAGGAAAAAGACTCATCCGGTGACCGCAAAAGAGATGGGACATGTGCCGGCGACTTCTCCGACACTTCCCCCATCTTGGCTTTGCGGACCCCCACGTCTGGCAGGTAAGGACCTTTTCTCACCTTACCGGCGTGAAGGGCATTTTGGGATGGGGACATAATAGTTCTTTTAGAAGAGTGTTCTAATAAATGCTCTTGGACTCTGTCCTTACTCCGGTATGTGTGTCTTCTCTTCCACTATATTTGAGAAAGTGAGACAAGGCAGGCACATAGCCAGGGGGTAGCCAGGGGGGTGGTCCATGGAGCCTGGGCCCCCCCCCCCCCCCCCCCCAACATATTCCATTTTGCTGGGGCCTCCTCTCCCACCTCCCCCTCATACAACATTTTGCATGGATGCCCCCCCCCCCAAACAAAATTCTGGCTATGTGCCTGAGACAAGGTAGTCGATCATTGGCACCGACGGAGGTAATTAATCTAACTGACCCGCGGCAATGTAGCCCTAAACGTCGTATATTATATTGCCGTGGAGATGTGGTTACCGCGCTACCAGGCTTGACGTCTCCTTTGAGACCGCCACCGCTGTTGAAATAACCCTTTGGTTACTCTATCGGTACCTGTGTTGGTAGCAAAATCCCACACACTGTACTTCAGTAATGTTTCCAAGCCCCTGTATAACCATGTAATTTGCACAGAATGGTGCTTGCAACAAAAAGTCAAGATTGCAAAACAAATATAAGCATACATTTGGTCTGCTGTTCCCGTTTCTCCAGCCATGGTTCTGATGAGCTGTTTCTTGCAGTATTTTTTAATGCAGGTGATGTTGAGTGGACCGCACCTTTTTTTTTTATTAATGACCGAGAGCTATAACCTTTTCTTTTTGTTTAGCGCAAGAAATGTGTGGGTGACCACAATCTCAGGTAGAATTATGAATCAGTTGAGTGAACAAGAACTCAACCGGAACAAAATAGAAAGCCATTTACTGAATTCGAACCCAAACCAAAACGGCATAATGGCAGGTTCAACAGCCTGCTTAGAATGCACACCAATAGAAGGCAAGCAACAAAGGATGTACCTGACATCAGGTGAATCTGCGCTGTTGCCCAGACTCATGCTATCGATGTCCTGTGCCAACTTTTTCAGGGCATCCGCCGAAACGTAGGGGGTGACGATTTTCGTTGGCTTCAAAAGCTCCTTTGACTGCGGCTTCTCAACTTCGACGTCCTCAGTGGCCTCTTTCTTTGTGATGCGCCGGTGGCCCAGATCGATTGCGTCGCCCCTACCATCGCTGTCAGATTCAAAAATAGAACAATTGTAAGACATATCAAAACAGATGCAAAAAATATATAAAAGCACATTGATGCAGATTCCAGAGACAAATATGAGTTAAGGAGACGTACAGCGCACCTCGTATTGAAAAAACACTGGTATACTTCTGTACACAGAAGAATATGACAGAATCCATGACATCTATATTCTCTTAACCTGCATAAGTATGAAGGATCAAATACTTTCGACTTAGCAAGCCATATTTCTCATATGGGCAAGATCAGAAAGTTTAAGGGCACATAAAGAGCATTTTGTTAAAACACCTGAGATTGGGTGACAAAATCTTAATTAACCCAAAGTAGAAGAGATGGGGAAAGAAGTCAGTCAGAGCTCTCAAACTCAGCTAATATGTTTGTTCACTAAACCTCGTATATACACTTTGAAACCAAGGTCGTCACACCCACCAATACAAAAACAAAACAAAAATCTTTTCCCTTCCTTTTTTTTTTTGTTTGTTTCTGCATTTGTAATATTTTTGTTTCCTGCCTTGTGTGTGTGTGTGTCTGTCCTTTTTTGTATAGTGCAGCAATGCCAGAAATTGATGTAAAATTAGGTTTCAGTGTGAAGGTGACAAACAGCATGAAGGGTAACATGCCTTTTGTTCTCTTTGAGGTTTTCTTCAGTGCTGCAAGATTGGGCAATATATGGCCAAATTGGGCTACATTTTTTTCTAGTTGGTGTCGAAACTTGGTGGTTGGCTATGTGGCTATTTTTGTGCTATTTCTAGGGATGTAACGAGTTTTTGTCGAAACACATGTTCGATGGCAAACTTCGAGGTCCAACTAGTTAATTTTCAAACTTCTAATCAGTTTCGAAAAAACTAATTTCTATTTTGGCTGGTCAAGAGGAGACAGAGAGAGGAGAAAGGCTTGGAACTTGTACAAACTTTAAATTTTTCACAATGCACAAGGAAGCAATACCCGCAGAGCTCAGTGGAACAAACCAAACAAACAGATTGCACTGTTATCACAGGTCTGGTAGTGCGTTTTTTATCCCGACATAAACTGAACTCTCCAAACGCTGCTTTGGTTCCCATTGTGAAAATCCTTAGGTGCCCGAGTAAAAAAAAAATAAGAAGTCCGCGGCTTCACCGCTAAACAATTGAATACCTTCCAGACATCAATCGGCTTAACAAAGAACAACGCAATCAAAAAGTGTGAATCGGAAAAGGGGGGGGGGGGGGGGCCTCATATTCTATTTGTGATGTACCAAATCTGTCAAACTTCATATTCAGCAAAATTCGACACATGCCAAACAAAAAAGTTGGGCAAAACATTCAGCACGTCTGCGCACGCGCGAGAACGCAACGGGGCCGATAGGGCCATGGATTGCAAATGGACGCCATGTGGCCGTGCAGTTACCATCGTGCACTGTAATATTACCAGTGGTTACAACAAGGTGCTGATTAGGCAACATGGTAACTGTGTGTTTGTCAGCCTTTGTAAGTATGGTTGTATTGAACATTTTTTGCCTCACGAACGGAAGATCGACCAGTAATTGGCGCAGTCAACTGCGCAAGTGACAAACTATGCAGTACATCCTGAATAACGTGATTTTTATTTTATCTTTCCAGTAATGCAACAAGGTAGTTGCAACATTGACTGACAAGTACTTTAAAGCACTCCTGACAGTTATAGCAATCCTGTTTTCGGCTCACAAGTAGTTTGTGCCAAAACAAAATCATCTTGCTTTTTATTTAGCTTTATTTCGCGGTTTCCATCTATCCGTATAAACCTAAACACAACTATCATGCTTGACGCACATCCGACCCATTCCTAACTCTTCTCATCTTCCTAAATGTCCGCACGTGTCCTAACATCAAAAACCGGCAATTTAAAAGTTAAAAACAAGATGTGGCAAAAATGGGATGCACACTTTCATGCAAAACTGGCGTCAAGTGACTCAAATCGAAAAACAAGCATATTTACAATAATATTGTTATCTCTTCTGTTAAAGGCTCCGCAGCCCGTTACATTCATTTTTGCGCACGAAATGGTGACTCTCAGTAAAAGTGAGAACACAGTGTTACTGGCTTTATTTTAACAATGTACGTACACACTTGTAGGCTTGCACCGATGAGGCCTCAGAACCGAAACTCGCGTATCATGGCTGCGTCCACTACTACCCAACATTGTTGACACACCACTTCTGCAAAAAGTCACTGGAAAGTTGCCAGTAAACACACAAAAATGACACCGATAATATTATTGAGTAGAATATCACCTTATTTAGTAATAAAGGTGTCAATATGCATTAAAAAAAACCTAAAAGCTTTGTTCATTGAAAAAAAAAAAAAAATATCAACTTTTAAGTCTGGCAACAATGTATTTTTGCCGAATCTTGGGGGTATGACTACGGTGCCTATACACGAACTCATCTCTGTTACGTCACGGCGCGGTGGTGGTGCGTCGGACGCACTTCCGGTCCGGAGCTGTGGGCGGAAGTGCCCATGTGAGACGTGTATTCCTGCGTTGTTTTGAAAGAAACCAGTCAAAAACCTGCCTTCTTGTCAAAATGCTGCGACTGGGGCTGTACCAAAAGGGTCGAGAAAGGTTTGAAGGTCAGTTTTCATGCGCTCGGTTCGTCCTAGAACGTGGATATGTGCCGTGAAAAGGGAAAACCAGACGCCGTCGGACCACGATTGCTTGGGCGGGAAGCATTTTGGGTTGAATTCACGGATACTTCTGGCCATCATATTTATTTGTTTTGTTCCAAAATGAACGCCGGAAAACCGTAAAGTTGTACGGACCACCTGCGGACTACGTTCAGTGTGTCTTCAAGTTCAAACGGTCGCCTGATCGTTCAAACTGTCGTCTGCTCTTTCAAACGTTTCTGCTTGTCGTCAGCTCTTTTAGAGGACACCGGCCCGTAGACCAAACGTGGGCCCGGTACTTGCGATAAGAAGTAAGTGCAGGCCTCAAAAGACTTACGTTTGAAGGTTGGTAAGCAGGCTTGACGTAAACAGTAGATGCAAGGAGATGTTGATCATTGTTACCAGTGGCCATTACCGACTTTTTATGCCCGATTCCCTTGGTTAGATTCTTCTTGCGATTTTCAGTATCGACGTCGACAATCTCAGCTACGGTTCACACTTTTGCAGTCCGAGCGACGTCGCTACTGAAAGTTGCGAGCGAAATCTCATCACGTGAGTCAGGCTTTAGCGTACATTCTGCGGCGTCCACGCGGAATGAATCGCCGCATGTCAGATTGTTCACGCGAAGTTTTGCGGTGTAACGAGCCTCGTTAATTTCGCTGACGCCGCTGAAGTAGTCAGACATCGTTAGGAGGACGTAGAATCAACAATTCCAACGCGAAAAAGAGCGTGGGGACTCACACCGACGCCGACAACATCGCATTTCAATGGTTTGTTTATGGGCGACGGCGAGCTTCTTGCCCACACCCCCATCGCGCATGCGCGGCGCCGGTGGCGTCCGCTAGGGGCGCTCCGGGCTCTCCGGTTTGTTTGTAAACATGAGTTGGTGTATAGGGGGTAGGTGTGCCGAGGAGAAGACCAAACGCATGCCACCTGTTCATGACGCCGCGTGATGGAGCCACGCGCGAAGGTCCCGGTCGCTTGCACGAGGAACGGAGCAAATGCGCAGTTTTCGCGCGGTCCGAAAATCCTCCTCACAAAGTAGAAAGGTGCTCTTTTCCTCAAGGATACAATTTCCAATTCGTGGCAATAGGGTGAAATTCAGTTAGCTCAATTACAATCATAACTCTTGCCACAAACCTACTTCACATTTCCTGCAGGAGTGTTTTTCACCGACAGATAATAAAGTTTCTTTTTTTAAAGTTTGAACAGAGGACTGAGGCACGAACAGTGGTGTCAAAAGTGTTGGGAAGGTGGATGGGTGACAAGTTGGGGGGGAGGGGGGGGAGAACTAGCCTGCACCACTGCCCCCATTCTGATGCCACTGTACATCTTACAAATACCAGAAAAAATACAACTAATTATATGATATAGCAACAAGGCCATACTTGTGGCATGAAGCAAAAAAGATTGTCTGTGTTTGTCGTCTCTCTAAGTTAAACACCTCCGGATTCTGGAGCAGTAGATGAGTTTATTTGAGGCTCAGGTAGCCTCCAGTTTTTCTGGAGTAAATGTTCATCAGAAACAGTCAGCATGACACTCAAAGCACGATTCAGTTTCTAAGAAAATGGAAAATATCTTGAGTCACAACACATGCCGCATTTTCAAGTGGGCTTTTGCTTGCCTTGCACTTTCACGAAGCGAGTTTCTTCCCTTCACAAGAAAGTGAAGGCACATGATAGCGTAGAACTTCACAACCTGGTTTGTGAGGGAATGTTTTTGCGTGTCACAACCTATGAGGGCAGGAGGCCTCAGCTGCAGGAATGACAAGAAGTCAGCAAGGCTGCTTTTCTTCAATTGTTTTAGGCTGAAGCAACGTGTGAAGGTGTCCTCCAGTGACGACACGAGCTTGTTGAGATCATTTGACGGGTACAATTAGCCTCTCATCGACATGCGAGTTGCCACTGGTGCTTCAGCTAGATGGGGAACTCCCTTAGGCATCAACAGAAGGCTGAGGCATCCTCCACATTTGCATTTAGTTACAAACTTTCTGGCAACATTCCCAGCAACATAGAAAATCAGCCTCGAGTCGCTCTTTTCTGTCACTAGGGAGCTGTGATCAAGATCACAGTCACTCAACACTTCATGTGCTGCTTCCAAGTTTCCTATATCTAGCAACTGGTCTACTTCCTTCTGCGTGGTCTTCTCCCGAACACTGGAGTCGTCAACGCATAGCAGACTGCTCAGCAGCCCAGACGAGACGTTTGCAGAGTCGGGAGACTTTGCAAGGTTCATAAAACTCAGGGTGTTGAGGGATAGCAGGAACTGCTTGGGCGTTGGATGATCGTTGCTCTCCGACACTTGTCGCACGACCCTGAAGAGTTGTTCCAAGCTATCCTGGCTCATTCTTGACGTCATTAAGAACCTGAAGCCCACTTTTGATGTCAGGTGCTCTAACAGA